AAGTTTATGACCTTCCTGTGAATATCATTTCATACAAACTATCCTTAAGCTTTAGCTTTACTTTTCTATTTGTTACTAAATTGACATTATTCTCCAATCAGTTCAAGTTACCTGGATAACTGGCACTGTAGCTTTGAATTCAGAGTGTGATAAACATTTTTGGCGTATACCTACTATGTACTCAGTATTAATGGTGAATCTATAGTTAAGACGAATGTAAATAATGATTAATTTAATATAGAATTTATGAAAGTACGATATAAAATTACATTTTAATCAGTTTTTTTAAGTGAGAAAACATGGGTCGCCGTTCAATAAATACCACAAAAAGTGGGAAATATATGAATCCCACTGATCAAGCACGTTAGTACATAACATAACCAAACAAGTTGTTTCATTTTTAAATTACAAGTTTACTAACTATAACTTATCATTCATAATTTGATAATAGGTAAGGAAGCACGTAAAAAGGAATTAAAGAAAAACAAAAAGCAAAGACAGTTAGTACGTGCTGCTGTTTTAAAAGGGAAAGATCCTGCTCAAATTATTGAAGAAATGGAAAAAATAGATCAAATGGGTTAGCATAACATCTAATATTTTCTGAATGATTAACATGACCAATATTTTAATATATGTGTATGTATATACATATACATATTTATTATGTGTAATTTTTATTAAATTTTAGAGTACAATGTTATGCAGCCACCACCTCTTAATGAAAAAGTTTTAAAAGATAAACGAAGAAAGTTAAAGGAAACCCTAGACCGTGTCTTAAAAATGTATGTAAGTACTTGATGCGTAATGGTTATAAATTTCCTTCAAAAATTATTGGTAAGATTAAATGATTATTGAGACGAATAACTAATATTTTGTAGAGTATTATGTGTAAAGTTTTTGCTTTTTCTGTTTATAGGCAAAAGATGATCAGGAAAAATGGGCTGAGTTAAAAGAGCAATTAATTCAATATGAACGTAGAAGAATAGATCTAGTTTCTTATTTTGAAGCTGTAAGGCATGCACAACAAGTACAAGTTGATGAAATTCCATTGCCATCAGCTGGCAATGATATATCTCGAATGTATTCAGGTATATATTTATATTTATAATATTACTTATAATGTGTATTTACATCTGTTTCATGCAAAATATATTATTTTAGGTTCCTTAACTTCACAAATACCATTACCGGATATGCCACAACCACCAGCACACATGTATCCTCCTCATCCACATTATATACCTCAACATCATCCTCTTATGAATATACCAATACCACCGAGTATTTTAAAGAAAACCAGTGCATATGCAACATCTCCTTCTATACCTACATTAGCACCTAATAAAGAACCACCTGGTGTACCACCTTTCCCTCCTCCAGATCTATCAAGTGATGATGAAGACATGCCTGAGAAGGTTTGTATTTAAATTTATTCAAAGATGCTTAATTCAATAATAATTATTCAATTATGCATAGGCTAAAGAATCATCAGCACCAAAATCAAGAACCATCCGATTTGCTGATGATAAAGAAGATAACAAGCAAGAAGGAGACAATAAAGATAAGGATATGGACAAAGAAAAAGAAAAGGAAAGAGACATATCAAAAGTAAAGCCTACTACTCTACAACAAAAAATGTTAGCTATGGCAGGACAAGATATTGAACAATTTATGCGTGAAATGGAAGTTGTTCATAAAAAACGAGAAACTGAACGAGCTCAAGACCTAAACGCTCGATTATCGTTACTTGAAGCGGAAAATGAATCTAATTCAAAATCTAATCATAAGGCTAGCAATAATAAGACAGAAGAAGAAGATTTAGAACCGCCAGGAGCATCAGACCATTCATCAAATCATAATCAACACACATCACACTCTCATTCTCAACATACACAACCTCATACAATGCCTCCTATGGGGTTACCACCTCCACCTTTAATGTATAGACCACCACCACCACCATTACATTTAAGGATGCCTCCACCACCACCTCCTCGCATTGGACTTCGATTGCCTCCTGGTAAGAATATTAAACATTAAGTACTTAATTGTAAAATATGATAAAAATCTTTGCAAATATCTCTTGTTAAAAATTTTTTGTAATGATAAAAGCAGTGTACACATTTTTCTTTTAAATAAGAAAGTAGTGTGATTCTAAACATTAAAGTACTAAACAAAGTTTGTACTC